AGAGAGAGAGATAGAGAGAGAGAGAGAGAAATTTATTTAAGGCCTCTTATTAAGGCTTTGCTTTAGGCCTCCGATGCTATTGAGCCGCCCCTGTTAAGAGAGATTGGGAGGAGAAAAAGAAAGAGCATCAGTCGCCGGAAAATATTTTTGGCCGGAGCTTTATTAGTTCATTTACTGTTTGCTTTTTCGGTAATGGGTTTTTCTTCACTGATTTATGGTATTTTATGAGGGGTTCAAGGAAATAAAAAGGCAGAAAAATGGGTTAGGAAAGAGGTGGGGATCGCGGAGTAAAGTTTTACCGGTCAAGCCTGTGATTTCCGGTAGTTTTTTCTACGATATGGTAGTTTTTATGAATGAATGATTGTTTTTCACTAGCAAAGTTTCATGTTTTTTTTTGGAGGTGGTTGGATTTTCTTTCCTTCAATGAGATTTTTGATTTAGTTACAAAATTCTTCGAGTTTATAGGTGAGAAAAATGATACTAGTTAGGAAAGAAGAAAAGAAAAGAAGACAAGTAAAAAATTCCTCTAATTTGATAAAATTAGTAGTAAAAAGATAAATTACGTGGCAAAAGATGGTTGGTGCATGCATTACACTACTTCTCCTGGAACTGAAACTAATCACAAAAGGTGATTTTATTGCAGTTTAAACAAAAACAAGGGGGGTCATAGAACTCCCGTAAAGTATAAGGGTGCATCTGATAAAATCGGACAACTTCAGAGGGTGATTATGTATTATCCATTTAATTAAAGTAATTCGTAGCTTCTTATGATTCTTATCTCATGAAATACAATTGATAAGGGTGTGCATACTCATGGTACATTCCTTCTTTACCTAAATCTTTTTGAAACATGGCTGCGAGTTGTCATTGATAGGAGCAGGGGCGGATTTACGTGTAAGAGACGTGGTGGTACGCCACCAGCAAGCTTTGGCCGAGACTATACATTAGTATGTATACATGCATACACACGCATACACACACACTATTTAGAAGCGGGAGTAAAGCTCCTCTTCGTCGTCCACCTTTCAGAGTAATTACATTTATACCCTTAGGTTTTCTTATTACCCACATTTTGTTAGGCCCATTTATGTAAAAGTGTTTTTGCTCTTGGGTGGTGGACAACCATCTCTCCATCATTTGCTCTCTGTCTCTTTGTTTCTCTCCGTTGCTGGTCAACATTTTCGTCCGTCGAAGAACCGAGTGTCTCGTGTTCCTCATGACCTCATCCGCTCTTTCTTAGTTCTCCTCTTCCCTTCTACTCTTTGTCTTCGCGAAACATCCCTAAGAGGCGAGGTGGAGGAATAAGCAAAGTGCTTGATTCATCGTCCTCTTGTTTTCCATCTGGTTCTGATGTCTTCTGAAAATAACATATACGACCTTGGAGCTCTTCATATTAATATAACATTTAGATTAATTTTAGGGTTTCGAACATAGCAGAACTTTAGGTAGCGATCAAACATTCGCTAGCAGATTTGGCCGCCCCTATAGATCCTCCGTCCACTCAGTCATCAGTGGGCGAGGCTAGCAACTCACAGGTCCC